CTCGGGGGGTGTCTCAGTGGGGAGCCTAGGGGTGTCTCAGCAGGGGGGTGTCACAGTGGGGAGCTGGGGGGAGGTCTCAGCAGGGCGGTGTCTCAGTGGGAGCCTCCGGCCTGCCTTGCCGACCCTGTGTTTGCCGGCAGAGGATGACTGCGGAGGCGCAGCGGCGAGTGGTGCTGGAGTACCTGCGGGCCGTCATGCAGAAGCGCATCTCCTTCCGCAGTGCAGAGGAGCGCAAGGAGGGTGCCGAGAGGATGGTCCGGGAGGCCGCGCAGCTCCGCCTCCTGTTCCGGAAGCTGGCCTCGGTGAGTGCCTTCTTGTTTCTGTCACCCCCACCCCCACCCCCTGGGCTGTTTCGGCCTGCTGATCAGGGCCAGTCACGTCAGGGACCAAGTGACCAGTCAATCCTCGTGTGCCCAGGAAGGTCTGTTGGACCTTGTCGCTGGGGGTAGCTTCTGGGGCGTTACTCCTAGCCCCGTGGGAGTGGCGTTAGCCAGACTGGTCTTGCCCCTGTGGGCTGCCCACCCCCTGCCCTGCTGAGGGCGCCCAGGACAGCTCCACTGTGGGCCGATCCTGAGCCGTCGGTGTCTGCCTGGGCCACAGAGTTCCACAGACACTCGGCATGTGTCCCCTCGCGGTGCTTGGCAGCTGCATGCACACTGTCTTCCAGGGGTTTGGTGAGGATGCAGATGGGCACTGTGACACCATTGTGGCCATCGCGGAAGTTATTAAGCTGACGGACCCGTCTCTGCTCTACCTGGAAGTCTCCACTCTGGTCAGCAAATACCCAGATATCAGGTAAGGGCCCATGTGCCATGTGTTTTAGCTAGAAATCATGGAACAGAGCAGTAAGCTCGTTCCTAGGGTCACTGACAAGATGGAGGGGCCTGACCAGCAGGTGTGAGCACCATTGGGTGTCCTGGCTCCTGGGAGGACAAGTTGTGTGGACGATGGCCGGGAGCAGAGTGGGCGTATCAGCGTGCCTCTGTGTCCCTAGCCCTGCTGTTGGACCTGGAGCCCATGGGACCCCAGCCTCGGGTCATGCACCTCCCAGGTGTCAGAGCACGGCTGGAGAGCAGGTGGCCTGAGTGCAGGTGGGGCATCACCACGCTCTGTGCGCTGGGGGAAGGTAGCAGAGCAGAGTGGTTTCAGGAAGCTTGTCTTGTGCTCGTGGATTCAGAGAAGGGACATGTGCCTGTCACACGTGACCAAGACGCCTCCCACCACCCTCCTGCCTCAGCCAGTGTCTTCTCTTTCTGCCAACGCTGTGGGTTTGCTTGAAGCGGGAGGAACTGGTGGTCCAGGGCTCTCCAGGGTCCTCTCACTCTAGTTAGGCAGTCTGTTAAAGATGTAGGAGAACAGAGTTTAAAACCTCATGATTATCAGTTGAAGAAGAGGCCGCCGTGAGCAGAGAACTCCGGTTTCTCTCCTGTCATGATATGGGGCACGCCTTCTCGTGCACAGCTGTTGGCCCTGCTCTGGGGCCTCAGTGTTGGCCAAGCCAGGCGGCGGGGGGACTGGGGGGAGTTTGAGTCAGGCGTGGGGGGTGAGCAGCTGTAAGTGGACCCCCTGACACACCCGTGGTGTTCCCCGCACCTGCAGGGATGAGCACATTGGCGCACTTCTGGCCATGCGAGGGGATACCAGCCGGGACATGAAGCAGACCATCATCGAGACGCTGGAGCAGGGCCCGACGCAGGCAAACCCAAACTATGTGCCAATCTTCAAGGAGATTGTGGTTCCCAGTCTGAACGTGGCAAAGCTCCTCAAGTAGCCTGTTGGGCCACAGCCTTGTTGCGATGCTGTGCCCGTCACCCCCCCCCCCCCCCGCCTTGTGTGGCGGCCAGAGCAACACGAGACACCCAGGACATGCATGCCTTCCTCTCTCGGTGTCGTGCTCAG